TGCCAAGGTTTTGCTTCCAAAGAGCTAATTTATGACTAGAAGGATATTTTATGTCTTCAGTTGCAGCAGCTACAAAACTCAGCAAATCAGAACCATCTGTGCACTGATACTTGAATCACCATTCATCTAGCAGCCTATCAGTCACATTAGTTTGCATCCTGCATTCTTGGCTCACATACACTTGTGATGGTCCAAAGTTCAGAAGAAATATTAAAAATGAACGGTACCCTGACCCTGCCTTATTGAACACACACCACAGAAAGAAACAGGGCTTTTGCATATGGGTAGTCTCAAGGCAGAGGTATTATGGGACTGACATTTCACAGCAGGTCCAGCAAGGCCGCTAATTACATCAATCTCCACTTATTAAAACAGGGTTTTATTAACTGTATAGTTTCAGACTTAAAAATACAAAGGGAAAACATAACATGATAGCTATCAGCTTTAAAACTCTGTTAGTGCATCATATAGCACTACGTATCAACAAAACAGTTAAATCCCAGAATAATACATCCTCCAGATTAGTGGCTCTAAGAATATAAGGGCAAATGACAAAGAACAGTCTGAAAGCAAGAAAATGAATTAAATGCTTTCACTAATAACGGTAACTTTGCTTTTAATCTGGTCAGAAAGAAAAACCTGGCATTCAGGCTTGTCTTCAAGATGTTAGTGAACAAAGTCCTTGACTTCCCCATTATTCTGAAAGTACACGATTCTCCACAGACCTACTACTTTGAAGTGAGAGGCTGTGGGTCAAAAGGACTCATGACAGTTCTTCCTCCTTAAGGGTTGACATCCCACTTTTTAGCAAAGCCAGGGGAAACAGGAATTAACAAACACGGTGTATTTAAGGCAAAAGAACTGCTGTGTCAGTCTCATTTTGAGATCTTAAACTGTTTCCTCTTTTACAAAAGGAGAGACAACCACCCAGCATGAGATTTCAGAAAATAATCCCAGAACTGTCTTTCTTACTTTCGACATTTCAGAAGCACAGTGATTGAGGGTGCCTCCTGCAGTGGAGAATTCCAGAGGGCCATCGTAGCGAGTTCCACTTGACTCTAGTCCATGCAGCAGGATTTTCTTTAGCGCTTGATACTTTGGCTTTTCATCATAAGCTAAACCATACACACTTGCCAAAAACTCGGATATTTCACCTGTGGAGCATATTTTAAATGTAAATTTCACTTGGTGTAGACCTAGAACTTTAGAAAGGTTTTAATCCCAAAATGGATGCCAATGCTACACTGCCAAACAAGATGACAAAATTTCAGCTGAAGTTGACATTCAAAATATAGAACTGACAATCTCTTCCCTTTTTGAGATGGGAAAAAACAAAACATAAGACTTGGATAAACCAGCTAACCTTTTAAGTGCTATGTCTTGTTATACAAATGCACTAATTTGCATGCTACTGAAAACTAGCACACAAGTATAAAAGTTCATCAAAATTTTTTTTTTGACAAATATTCATAGTTCGTTCTAAAATACAAGCATTTTACATTTGATAGATCATACCATCCTTTTAAATATTGAATATTCTCAATAACAGTATTTTAATCAGCACAGATACTGTACCTTGAATGTTTTGGAGAAAAACAATTATAATTTTTTAAACATCTAACACTTGGACAAATATTGCTTCTGAGATTTAAGTTCTAATACAGCCTAATAACAGCGTTATTTTGCTATCACTACTGCGTACTTCTATAGACAAAGAAGCTGCTGAAAGTGCAGAAAGAATACTATTAGGAAAAACACGCGAAGAAAAAACAACTTTTCTTTCAGTTGAAGATTCCAGTGCTGGAGTGCTGCAGTAGATAGGTATTAGCATCTGTTGTAGTCCCACACGTAAAGTTTTGTTAAATATGCATGTACATTGTGAATCTTATGTGATATGCCAGCATTCCAAGAGTTCAAACACACAAATTTCATGGAAAAAAGTGAATAGATCAAAAATAGATACTGCCTTTGAGGGAAGCTTGGTGTTCTCCATAAACCAAAAAAGTTTTTTTCTCTGGGTTCCTTTTGTACTATTTCAGTGCAGGAAACAGGACAAGCCAAAACATACATTCATTTGTTTTTTTAAACTCCTAATATACTAAGCAATAAACCTTTATAGACATTTGCTTACTATTTCCAGTTACCTACATTTCTAAGATAGTCACTGTTTCCCAAAATCTTGGATTGCATATAGTGAAGATCTGATATGCCAGTATTAGATTCAGTTCTCTCCTGCAGGGATAGCAGTCTTACTGAATAAAGGAAACTACCAGAGTCTACAAATTAAGTTATTAACAGTTATGTTAAAAAAAAGTGGTTGAAGGAGGCTCTTCCGCTGGCAGTCCCCTTTTTCCAGAATTCTTGTGGTAATATTAACAAGAAAGGCAGCATTTCAACCATAAGATTTCAGGTTGAACTCACCGGCTCTAGGTGCAGAGCAACAACGAAATGATGGTCAGGAAAGTCTAGGTGCAATTCAACTGCACTCAAACATGTCACTATATCATCACAGATGAGATGGATCAAGATTTTTGTACTACCATCTGCAAAGGCTGAAAATCTAGCCCTAATGTCTGCATCATCTACTTAGTTAATTGGTTTTCGGCTAATACAGGAAAGTAGCAGGAGAAAAAGGATCCTGCAATAACGCATGAAGTATCCTGACTCTAGAATCATGTATTATAGAATGACCAGCATTCAACAGTGACCAGAAATTTACCTTCTCTTCTTGCAGTAAACCCTTCAAGCTAAAATTGCTTAAACTGTAATAAGCTTATACATGAAGGGTCTGATCCAGTTCCACTGAAGTCAACAGAACTATCATTTCAAATAAGTTACATTCTGAATTGATGAGTCTGACGTATATAATCTCACAATAACGAGTGTATAAATATTACGTTATCAGCTAAAAATAACTCTAGTATAGATATTGCAGGCTGAATTCTTCCGTTGAATATATATCAACATACGTATCAAGAGCCGCTCCGCTGTACTGCCAGATTTTACACAAACTGGATAAAAGAAAACTGGCCCAAACGCATCTATTCATGAGGTAGGTGAATTTTGTACTATTATCTTAATACCATATTTAATACAGAACAAATCTTCAAGCACCGTGTATGTAGCAATTTCTTTACTAATTTCCTTCTCCCCCAGATTTAAAGCCCACTACCACTACCAAACTTGTAGTCCAATATCTGGCAAAAATCACATCCTAACCTTGTAGGAAAGAAGCTAACAATGGAAATCTCATCCCTGGTCTCGTCTCTTCCGTCTAGGGGAAAGAAATTGCAGCTACCTTCTCCTCAGGATTTAACCAACGCAACGGCTAGACACAGGAAGACAGAAAAGGAAGGAAAGTTTAGGGCAGGGGAGAGAGGATGTGGACAAGACTTAACGGAAAAGAGGAAGGGAGAAGCTGAGACCCAAGGTAGCCCCTCTAGGCTTGCAATAACTGAGGTGCACATTAGGAAAGTCTAGGTGCAACTGACAGATACGAGAAAAGAAATCAAGAAGGTGGTGCAAGACAAAAACAGAAGGTAGAAGCTAGATAAAAAGGGCAGGAGCAAGAAAAAGCATCAGTGACAGTGTCAGTCAAACAGGCATTAGAGAAGAGCAATGGGAAAGGCTGGAAAGGCTCAGCTAGGATGGATGAGAGACCTAGACACGCTCACAGGGAATACTCCGCAGCCTGGAAGCTGCCCTGAAGACTCTGCTTGGCCTGCACTCACCTGCCAGTCCGGCCCCAATGCCCATTCTTATCTCTAGGATGCTTATGCTGACAGCCGTGATTCTGCAAAGGTTGGCGTGCAGGCAGGATTTCAAAGGGTCCCATAAGGATGACTTCTGCTTGCACACTATAGTTTGCCTTAAGAACAGAGCCGAGTAATGCCGCATGGACTCAGGCCATTTGCCCTAGGGTGCAAGACTTGGTGATGAAGTTCATTATTTTTAACAGAAGACTTGGTTAATTTTGTAATACTTTTACTGTTCTTCTGCTCCCCCGAAATAGATTAAGGCATTTGAATATTTTACACAACAGACTGAAGAGCCACAGAGTAACACACACTGTAAGGACACTTACTACAATTGCTTCCAGAAGAATCCCATTCCATCACTGATCGTGGGAGCTCATCCATAAGTCTGAAACAACAAGAGAATGCAACAGTTTAATGTGGTTCTGGAGCAGGTGATCCTTCATTTGGGATTTGGGAAGACAGCAAGTCTCAATTCCAAAGGGAGTGGACCTCCAGGGTAGTTAATGATTCACAGTCTGCTTTTTTTAAAAAAAAAAAAATGTCTCCTCTTACCAGCTATATTTTTAACTCTTTGGAGGCTGCTGATTTCAGCAAGACTAAGACTTACAGCTAGACCTGCATTCAGTTTTTCTTTGCAGATGTTTTAGGTTTTCTAGAAAGAAAAAAAAAAAACCCTTTGAGCTTAAATGGCTTGTTCTGATTTCAGCTTAATGATTAATATTTGCTTTTGGGATTGAAGAAGTGGTTCTGGTCTGCCTAGTAGTCATTTAACATCAGATTCTTTCTGCCATGTTGCTCATGAGCAGCGGGGTGATGGCTATCAGTATTACAAACAGGCATGGCAGGGACAGTTAGGAGGGAGGGTAGGCAACTGCAAATCCAGCTTTATAAACTGAAGAGGCAGGACCACAGGTGTACTTCCGATCTGTTCAAAACCAGAGATAGCCCAATACACTGGGACTCAGAAAAAAAATCATAGCCTAAAAAACAGATGAAGTAACACGACCTCTTCTCTTAGAGCAGATGTGAATCACAGTGCTTTTCTAGCACCTGTAGGAACCTGCAGCCGCACAATCCCCCTTGCTCTGTGGGAATGAAATCTCTTAGTTCAGTCTAGCTGTTAATACTATTAAAGGATAGAACTTCAGCTACATAGTGTCACCATGGCACCAAAGGTCTTCATTTTTTTTTAAAAAAGATGTAACGTTACTGAAGTATTATTTATGATCTAAATCTATCTACATCTTCATGCGGCAAAAAACATGCAAGAGTGTCTGCTTTGTGTTTTGCATAGCACAGCATTTGTAGACGTATACAAGTATATAGCGTTTTTTCTCCTCCCCTCACTTACTGTTTAGGCTCAAAATCCCACATTTTTCTTGTTTAAAGGAATCTCATAAAGGTCCATCCACCAGTAACAGGATGTGTTCTGAAATGCATGAAATTGGAGGACATAGGCTAATAACCTTTGATTCCATAACCTGGTCAGCCAGCCATTTCAATTTAATTGGCTTGGTACACACCAGCTTCATCCACACCTTAATTTCAGCCAAGTTCTGCCAACAGGAAAAATATGCAGAATCAAGTCCACTGAGTATGCCTTGTCCTAAGACCTACTTTTGCGGCAGGCAAGGGACACTGCAGAGTTCGGAACCACGAAAAATACCCTGTAAAGCCCCCTATGCAGTTTTTGTATTTTGTAACAAATGGAAAGGGGGGCGGGGGGTTATTCAACATGTAGCTACTTGGCATGTACATCTTTATTCTACAGCGATTTCATCTCCCCATACAATAAACACAGAAGTAATCTCAAATATTGCAAAAATTACATGGTTTATGGAAAAGGTAATTGAGCTCCTCTTGCATTCTTCACAAGACCTTCCACTCTTGACCATTCCCAAAAACAGGATATCGGGCTAAATAGACCCTTGGTCTAACCTAAGTTAAAGGAAAATGTGCATCATCACAATCGTACAGTCTCCACAGCAAAGGACTGGAGTGCTTAGAAGGGACCTGACCTGTGCTAGTAATGTACTTACTAACTTAGAAGCAACTGGCTATGTACACGTATCCTGATGCCTGCTTCTGGCCTTTTAAAACAGTGTAGGCACAGAAAAATCGGGTTAAATACGAAGGGATGACCTGTGCAAATCATCTAACGCCAAGGAACATAAATTATTACGCTAAGAGGTATTTCTACTAAATGGAATCTGTATCATTGTCTGTGTGTTTCCTCCTAAGCATCTCTTTAGATGGCTTTCTGGAAATACTAGCAATCTAAGAGTTAACTGCAAGGGAAGAATTAGTGAGGCAGCTTGATTGATTAAATTGATTTAACATTGAATTGTATAAGTGTTACCTTGCAGGGGGTTGTGTAATGATCAGAACTTCTAAAGGAGAAATATTAAACATAACATACGATGTCAACATTTACAGATGCAATCTGTATTATCCACAGTCTGCAGGCTAACCTTTTTCTCTGTTGAGAGCCGATGCCACACTGAATTTGCAGATTGATTTCTGTGGATCAGCTATCCCTATTGTGTACCTCTGTTGTGACTTGCCCTACTTAAAAGTTTGCTGCTTTCTCCAATTGTGATGCTACATTTACGGATAACTACTCTTCTGTATATCCTTTTAGGGGCTATGCTGTACCACATACAATTAACTCTCTCAAGTCCCAGCTATGAAAGCAGTGAAAGAAAACACTAATACACTCTGTTGCTTTAGTAAGCTCTAATGAGTCATGCTGGGAAAAAGAAAAGATTCTGAGCAAGTTCCTTAGTAGGTTCTCTGGTATTTAAATGTTTATAACTGTTTACAACAGTCAGCTTATATGGCATTAAAAACCCACATGAAAACGTCTGAAAAATAGGTACCAACGAAAAAGTTAAATTAAATGCATATGTGAAAGAAAACTTTCAAGAGACTTTTGTACCAAGCACCCGTGAAGAAGTTTAATGGAAACCTACAATGTCCTTCTGCATGTGCAATATAAGGTGCACTCTTGTTCACAAACACTGTTTCTTGGAAAAAAAAAAGTATTAAAATATATGTATTAAAAGAAGTATTAAAAAAGTATTAGAAGAAATGACTGTGTATTGTACGTTTGAGTTTATCATCGCATCTCCACAGCAGTACATACATAAACATGGGCAGAACGGTGTATATGCATACAGAGTTTGCATCTTTAACTGCTTCTAACATCTCTCTTAATTAAGGAAAATTGTTTTAGCTTTCATGTCAGGTGATATCCTATAGGATGTGAGCTGTCTTTGGAACTCCATTTCAGACCTCTTTAGGTATATGATGGAGCACGGGGTGTGTGGGGGTGTGGGTGTGTGCGGTTTTATTTTTACTTTGTTTTCGCAGTCTGGACAGCTACAGGGTCCTTCAGGTTCTGTTCCCAGGGCAGTTTCCCACATAACCACTGCAGCATGCAGTAGCCAAGGATTTCAAGGTCACCTCGTCTAGATGGGGCTAAAACAGAAGAGGGGAGGGGGGAAGGGAGAAAAAAGATGAAGAATAAGAACCTCTTCTTAGGAAATAGAAAAGACTTTGATTGAACTACTGTTGATGAAATACGAAAAAGCCAAATGGGCAAAGTGTTTTGTTTGTTCAGCTGTATTAGACCTAAAACGCCCAGGCTTTTGGCCACAGTCCACAGACAGGCAGTGACTTGTTACTGTTGAAGTAAGGGTCAGTTTCCTCACCTCCTCCAGCTTCATCCTTCCTCAGTCTGGCCTGTCACATGGACTTGATCCCCATGGCCTCTGACATGATCCAGACAGCCCATAACTGAGTACCAACACTTTCTCAAAGAGCCAAGCAGTAAAACAAAGAAATAAATGTCTGCTGCTAAATTGCTAACACATGTTCCAGGAAGTCCATGGGGTCCACATTGGTCATGCAGGGACCCTGTGAGTGCAGACTAAACACTGATGGCCTTTCCTGCTCTACTACAGAGCTATTTGAACTTGGAAGATATGACAAAACTGCCATCTAGTGTACGTTTACACACCAAAGTTGTCTGCTTACAAGTACTGTGAACTGCTTGTTCAGAGAGAGCTGTAGCACAGGCTAAAACACACTTGCTGTTTAGCAAGTCCTAGGTAAACTTATCACTACTGTTTCCACAAAAGAAGTTATTTCAGAAACAATTTGCTCTCATCCTGAGCAGCCCAAACTGATATACTGACTACAGAATACAAATACAGTAGAAATAGTTCTATCAAAAACTAACATCATACCCACATATCTCCTACACAGGAAAACAGATGACTTTTTAGTTAGCCTATAGATTGACTTCTGCAATACTAATACAATTGCTATTGCTTATCGCTGCTCAAAGTAAAACAAACTTAAAAAAACAGAACACATACAATTGCTGCAATATTTCTTTGTACATAGCTGACCTACAGCCTACAGTTTTTGCAAGACAGGACAAGATAGAATATGCTAACACAGAAACTACTAATCATGATTAAGATAAAACAGACATAAAAATTAAATTCATAATTTTCCAAAAGGAATTTGAACTCTCCAAAAACGAAAGAAGATTTCAGATTTGTCTGGTTCTTTTTTCCTAGAGTCCAGACCAGTAGTATAGTGCTGTTAATCCAGTTGTAAATAGATATCATATTTTATGGATCTTCATTAAATAAATTCCAGAAAGTCACTCTGCAAACTTATCGTTTAATTTAAGAAGTCATCCGCTAAAAGCTACAGTGCCAACATATCATAACTGTTTCTTGTTACCGTACACACATTATTACTATAAAAGCAGAAGACAAGATTAGTTCTTACACGTTCTCTATCTTAACTGCTATTAGGCTATCGGATTATTAAAGGCCCTTCAATCTAACAGAATGCTACACTATCCCCTGGGTGTCATTTATTTCCTGCACTAGATTCAACAGTGTCCTAATGCAAGACTTGGCTCTCATGTTAAAATAAAAACACAATCTCTACCACTTGCTGCTCTGTAGCAATTTCTTCAGTCATAAATCTCCTGTTAACTGTGGAACAATTCCATTCATACACATGTGTTCACAACTTCTTTTTCCATTATGGCAATTCCAGATTATAACCGTATAAGCCAGCATTTTTGATTGTGGCTTCTCTAATTTTCACAAAATGCTTTTCTGGCACCTGTTTGTATACGATGGGCTACATACAAAGTGGCCTTTTGAGAAAAATTATCAAAATTACAAAGGACCACTTTTTTTTCACTCCTGGAGGAATTGATATGAGGCTGTAAATAACAGTAAGTCAATTAGATTTCAGAAGTTAACCTAAGATAACTAGTTTGCTGGCGAAAGAGTATCCAGAGAGTAAAGTTTACCTACTTTGGCCATGTCTAATTACCTTCTAATTCACATTGAGATCTTCTGTCCATTTCCTGACTACTGTGTCAGGCATATGTGTGAGTAAGACTTTACAAATGCATTCCTAATGCCGTATTAGTCAGCTGAAGGCAAAAAAGTAATACATGTAACTAAGCTATATATCACTAAAAATAAAGGGAACATGTTTTACAAAGAGATAAAGTGATATGGGAATTTTCCATCCATCAAGACACCTGAAAGTGTTTACTACAAGACATTTACATGTGCTTTTCATAGATCCACATGAAAATGTCAACATGTGATTATCTGACTTGACTAGTTTTCTTCCTGTTCCTTTCTTGGGTCAGTATTAGAGGTGCTAGCTTCTTCAACTTTTTAAATAATTTTGATCCTTGTAAATAAATAAATAAATAAATAAAGTTCATAATATTTAACGAATTAATATGATCTATGAACAACAGAACAGATCTTCATCTCATATTAAACTGTAATACATGTATTTCAGCTGGTTTTGATTTGAAAAAAATCTGGTAATACAATTTGAGATTGAAAGAGTTCTCGATAAGCATGAATTAAAGGAACTCAGTCTGGCTTGATTTTAAATGCGATAGCCAAGCAATAACAAAACAATTCTGCCTGATAACCTATCACTATTACAGGAGTATATGTTCAAAATAATACTTATTTAAATCAAATTCTCTTTAATTTCTCAGTAGACTAAAAATTTATGTTTTTTTAAAGTAGATATTTGATTTCTACTTTCCTATTAATCAGTTTTTTGTTTTTTTTTTTGTATTTTAGCCTCATATGAAATACTACTTAAAGGGACCATGCTGGTGATATTTTATTTTACAATATTTTTATAGTTTAACTTTTTTACTTGAAGATTTAAGGCCTGATTCTGTACTCACTCCTACAAAGATAAATCAGGAACAACTCCAGTGAAGTTAATGAATTAACAACCATGTCAATTAAATCACGGTCAGGCCCTAAGAAGTTTTATATACAATGCAAACACATATACTCAACATGCAGGCATAGGGTTGGACAATAACTCAGAATAATGTAACAAGCAATTCACACTGAGAAGAGGATATAGTATGTCTTTCTCTATACCAAATTTGGCAGTTAGCTGAGTTCTAATATAAATTCAGATGACTATTTCAAAATAGAACATAAATGATACCACACCAGCCACTCGAAGCTCTCAACACTACAATGCTCTACAGAGCTCATCTTCAAGCCATATAAAAATGAGAATTTTCCTCTATGGCTTTTATTAAGCTAACTTTCTCAAGCCCTTTGTAAAGATCTAGGAGGCTAATGAGTGACAGAGATGAAATGTTTTTCTATTATTTTTAATTAGTACTGTTACACTATAATTTCACCACTTCTGTTTCTTTAGATTGGAAATTGTGCATAGAAAGGATCATTTTAGTTGCTTCTATTGTGTCAACATGCAGTGGAACCTCCAGTTCTTAATGACATTATCAGCATACAAATTCATATTAATTCGCAAACAAATATAACTCATATACCATAACCATTAATTCAAAAGCCTATAAAAAAAGGACTGTTAACATGACTACGGAGAAATACAATTAGGCCAAAAACGTATCATCACAGTGTTTTAATCTACAATGAACTAAAAGTAACAGAACTTTTAAACTCAGCGTTGAGAAGATAAAACCACACAAACCCAAGAACTTGTTCAAATCAGTGCTTGTATTAGGAGCAGGAGGAAGGAAGAGATCAGAGAAGCAAATAGTGAAGCATTTCCCTTCCCCCAGGTCCTGGTCAATCTGAGGAATTCACTGCAGCAGGATAGTAAATAACTAAATAGAGCGGATGGTTAAAGGGAGAGAAGAAGTAAATTTTAATACTTGTAGGCCATTCTATACAGATTCATCCAGTCTCAAGGAGGACAACTGCTTGCAATGGCCAGAGGCAATTCCCCCCCACACCCCATACAGTTCTGCATCATTAGCATGGTGCTTTGTTTGCTAGCGTATTCACTGCATAATAACCAGCAGCAGGCATGGAATGCTGGAAAGAAAAATAGTCCAAAAAGCGTGTTTGCACAGCAGCTCTTCCAGAGAATTCAAACCGGGGAATGGCAATAAGCAACTTCTCCTATGTCAACGGTGGCCAGTGCCCCAAACTTGAATCCTGAAGCTACACGCTCAACTCTTCACATGGTTGATGGGCATAAAACATTCAGAATTCATTTGCAGGGAGGATATAGCAGGGATTACCCCGCAGTTCCATCACCTCCCTGCAGGCTGTGCCAGGCGGTCACGGGGGTGCCGCTCTGACAATATGTGCCTCCTAATCCTGCAGGCTCATGCCCTTTCTAAGCCAGGATCAAGGCTGGCCAGTAGCCCACACCTCAGCAATGTCCTATCACTCACCGGATGTCCAGGAGTCACATAAGTCACCTCATGAGTCACAGAAGCTGCAACACTCCTGCCTCTGCCCCACCTGCCCAAACTTATGAGCACACTGTGAGCCAGCAGGACTTACAGGCCGCAAGTTCCCAACTGTGATCCTCAAACTTCTTCAAAATACCACAACTGTACTGGACAATCAGAATAGCCTCAGCAACCAACTCCATCCACGTGCAAACTCTTCTCAATCTTAAGAATAACAACCTCCAAAAAAGCAATTACATACATCCACTGACTGGCAGTACCTACCTGCAGAGCCCCCTAAGTTTTGCACCTGCCCTGTGGCATTCATAAAACAAGAGTGGAACCAGCACCAGGACTTATTTCTTCTAAATACGGGCAAAGAGAGAAAAACATTAGGACCAGTGAAATGCGATGCACTGAAAGCAACAGGTCTGGGGGCCTGGTTTGGTGCGGAGAAGTGTATAGAGTAGAAAAGTGGGAAGATGCAAGGGAACTTCAGCAAGAGATCTGCACGTGTGATAAAACAGCGGTGGCAAGAGGTCTGGGTACCTGGATGGAAGCTGGAAGTAAAAGGTCCCCGGTTAGCAGTAAAGAGAACAGGTTACAAGAGAGTGGAGACACAAAGTTTTACTTCTCCCTCACATCCGTGTGGTAGAAAAAATCATGGAGGTAAGGGGGCTGACAAGTAGGTGCTGACAAGTAGCCATAAGGTTCACTAACC